TCCTGAATTGTAAGTTGTTGATAGGACCAAACATTGCTTGTCTACGAGACATTGTTTAAAGGGACTCGCTGGGAGAGTGTTAGTGGCAAGAGGGTAGTTATCCACCTTGAGCTGGTGGGCCTGGCTCATACCTGATTGAATGCTTTTCAGCCTGCCTGGTGTGGGTCAGTGGTTGAGCGTGGACCTATGAACTGGGAGGTCAGGACCCATGCCAGATTGTAGGGGCGTGCAGGTTTCTCTCATCATTGATGTTTCTGTATCTCCCTCTCCCTTCCTCTCTGAAATCAATAAAAATATATATTTTTTAAAAATGCTTTTCACTGTGTAATGGTGTTGGTAGTGAGCATTTTATACCCCTTTGTTGCCCAAAGACTAGAGTTCTCTGAACTCTCAGTGGCTCTCAGACTGGGCCCCTACCCCCCTTTTTTTTAAAATATAGTTTATTGTTTTTGTTTTTGTTTTTGTTTTTTTAACAGAGAGGAAGGGAGAGGGATAGAGAGTTAGAAACATCAATGACAGAGAAACATTGATCAGCTGCCTCCTGCACACCTCCTACTGGGGATGTGCCCACAACCATGGTACATGCCCTTGACTGGAATCGAACCTGGGACCCTTCAGTCCACAGGCCGATGCTCTATCCACTGAGCCAAACCGGTTAGGGCAGGCCCCTCCTCTTTTTATGTCTATGTGAATGCAGCAGTCTGTGATGATACAGCAAATATTGTTCCTGGCTTTTTTTTTTTTTTTTTTAAATATATTTTATTGATTTTTTACAGAGAGGAAGGGAGAGAGATAGAGAGTTAGAAACATCGATGAGAGAGAAACATCGATCAGCTGCCTCCTGCACATCTCCTACTGGGGATGTGCCCGCAACCCAAGTACATGCCCTTGACCGGAATCGAACCTGGGACCTTTCAGTCCACAGGCCGACGCTCTATCCACTGAGCCAAACCGGTTTCGGCTTACTCCTTTTAGTAGAGCTTTGCAATATAGTTGGCACTCAGCTTTGTTGTTATATGAGCAAATAAGTAAAGAGGGGGAGGGTAAACAAAATCCAGAGTGTTGTGTGTTTTTTTTCCTTGCTTGAGGATAAGGATGCTCGGGTGGCTACTGCATCTATTCTAGATCTGTTTCTTTCTTTATTTGAAAGAGACAGGGGAAGGGGGGAGGGGAGAAACATTGATTTGTTGTTCCACTTATTTATACATTCATTGGTTGCTTCTTGTATGTGCCCTGACCGTGGATCGAACCTGCAACCTTGGTGTATTTAGGATGGCATTCTAACTAACTGAGCTACCCGGTCAGGGTCTAGATCTGTTGATTCTTGCCACTGTATTCAGTGAAGTGGAAACTTTTACCCGAGATCAAACCTTAGATTAGGTGTTAATGTTACATTTTATTCACTAGGGCCAGAGAAAAGATCTCTTTTGCTTGTTGTAGTAGCTGGGTATTGGGGACATTAGTAGGGATAAAAAACAGAGTTATCAG